GATCTTTTGACCAACAGACAATCGATCGCTGAACTGAATGGTCCATTTCTTTATGGAGTTCAGTAGCACAAGAATCAAAGAATTTAATAGTAACTTTATGGAGTTCAGTAGCACAAGAATCAAAGAATTTAATAGTAAGAAGAATCGATTTTTTACATGTGCTTCTTATTTATCCTTCAAAATTATGACAAAAAAATAAAAAAACATGTCAATTTTTTATTATGATAGGTGCTATCTTTGCTAATAGTACAACATCAACTGTGATGTTTATCAATCCTGAAATTCCGAAGCCACAGATTTATCACAAGATGTTGGTGCAAATATATTTTTTTTTGATATAATATATCGTTGTAATTTCTTATAAATTATTTCAATAAATTTATGTAGCTTATTCAAATAATTACTTTCCTCATTATTCTATTCAGGTATGTTGGGACTAATTTTATGGCAAAAATGAAAGGAACAATGCTTTCTAATCCAATATTTGTTGAGCAAATAATGCAGCAAGATCGAACTGCTTTGAAGCAATTTCATGAGATGAATCTTGATGCAAATAGAGTATCAATCTTTCAGTTAATTTACTTTTTTTCTTATTTTATAACTGATTATTTTTTATATCACTTCTTATCTTCTTTTTTTTTTTTCTCAGAATATAAAGTTTGTGTGTGAACAGAATGCCAAAAACATGTCAAGCCTTAGGAGGACCAACAACATGGTAAATTGAGATCCATTTTTGGGTAATTCAGTCAAATTAGTTAGCTTCATATTTAACAATTTGTAATATAGTTATGCCATCAAATTATGAAAATATTGTTTTCATTTCGAAAATATTGTTTTCATTTCAAGTACAAATTTGATTGTATTGTTGAAAATCAAACTGAAGGAGTGTTTATGCTTATGGGCAAAACTACTGCAGATGTGCTTAAAATTCGGAAAAACTTTTATTTTTCAAGTTAATTGGGGCTCACCTAAAAGTGATTTGTCAAGGAAAAACTTTTATTTTTCAAGTTAATTGGGGCTCACCTAAAAGTGATTTGTCAAGGAAAAACTTTTATTTTTCAAGTTAATTGGGGCTCACCTAAAAGTGATTTGTCAAGGAAAAACTTTTATTTTTCAAGTTAATTGGGGCTCACCTAAAAGTGATTTGTCAAGGAGTGATTTAATTATTGCAGCAATATATGATCTGAATACTTTGCCATAACAGTTTAGTAACGAAGAATCATCTCTTAGGCCATCATTGATATCAGAATAAGTCTATTCTCAAGTTGTGTTTGATGGAGTAAATGTGAATAAAAGAAAATCGCCATATTTTCAAGACACTGGAATTGAATCTGAATCAAGATTTATAGAATTCTTTGAACTTTTTCTTACTTAATCATGATATATTTTTGCAATAGCAATATATTATTATTATTATTATATAATTGATGACAAACTAATTAATGCATAGCAGTGAGGATTTAAATGCAAATGAAGATCATGCTGTCTCTTTTCATAGCAGTCAAGCCCATCGACCTAGTAAAGAGCCTAAAACAAGGTAATCCATGTGTTCTTAATCAACTAAAGAAATTTTGTGAAATAGTACTTAAGAGATTTTTTGTAAAGAAATAAAAATATCAAATAAATTATTATGCATATCTTATTTGTAGGTCGTCTGATGATGATTGAACAAGGAGCTTTTTTTTTTTGTATATCATTTGTAAATAATTATGTCTTTTTGTGTATCTTTTGATTTTGAAATTTTAGAAAAAAAAAAAAAACGGTTTAACAAATATGCAACGTCCAAACTTGGAGAATATTGGAGTTATTAAATGAATTTTGATTTAATTAGCAAAATACTCAGGTATGTGTTTTTATTTCAATTGTTACCATATTCTATTACTTCTTGAATTTTTATTCCAATCATGTTTTGTTTATTTCATCCATTTGCATCTTCTTAACAATTTCATTTGTAGGTGGAAAGAATTGTTGGTAATAGAATCAGTAAAATAGTTCTGGTAATGCTATCTGTTTCTGTTTTTTGCTAAATTGTATGCAAGAATGATTTAATAATTTTTATGCAGTGTTGAGAACTTTTTTTTTGTTTGAACGATTGGTAATGTTTTTTTTATTTGTTTATGTTCTTTTGAGGACATTTTGCAGTTTCAATGGATTGCTCATTTATTAATGTTGTTCGATTTTACTGCATAGAAATTGGAATAAAGTGATGAAAATATAAACTCGACTTAATTATACTTAATTACTGCGGTTTGTTGGCTTTTTCAAATTTTGATTTGATTTAGATGATAATTTAGATTTCATGGTACAAGAATGGTGCTAACTTTGCTGTCAGATTTATTGCTGCTTATTTAAAGGTTTGTTATTGATTCCTAATATATGAATTTTTGGAGTTTTTATTTAATTTTGATAATCACATTTTATAAAATAAAATTAATACTAATTGTCTTTTACTGTCTGATTGTAAATTTTAGTATAATTGCCTTTTACTGTTGCTTTTTACTGTCTGATTGTAAATGAAGTCAATAATTTGATCCAAAATATATATAGAACATCCCTTTAAAGAGGCTATGATGATGTTCTATCGTAAATTATTTATCTTGGTGAGACAATTCTTGGAAATTATAGCATGATGGGATTTTTATCTCATTTGCTCGTAACCTTAATTGCACTCATAATTTAATCATTTATTAACAATTTTTATTTTGAGCCTCCTTTCGTTTGTGTTTTGTTTTTATTTCTTTCGTTGATTGCGGTTTTTTCTTTATTTTTCTTCTCTTCTTTTTCCGACTTTCCTAAAATTCCTCATCCTCTTCTGTGATTTTGGGTAAAGGTAAGCTTCTCACTTCTTCAATTTCTTTTTTTATTAATTTGAAATTATAGTTTTTTTTTCCTGAAATTTTGGATTTTTTCCTTGCAATGTTAGGAATGAGCTTCTTATTTTGAGCACATGCAAACAAGAGGAGGAAGAGAAGCTTATGAAGATAAATATGAACATAATTTGTTTTTACCTATTTGTATGATTAGTCACTTCATAATTTAATATCATATGAATACATAAATGCTTTTGTAAAATATCATAAGTTTAATGTAAATACACATTATATAAATTGTTCTAAATTTAATGCAGCTATGTAAAATTACTTACGATATAAATAATCACTGCAAAAAAAAATCACCCGCAGCATCACGCGGGGCCTAAAAAACTAGTTGGACCTAATTGGTTAGCAAATAAAATTTATCCTAACTTAAGTTAAGTTAATTAGAATTGATAAGCTTGTAGATTTATATCTTATATTGCTTATATTACGTAAATTCATTTATATATTCTTTTAGGAAAATATGTGTAGTACTTGTAACTTTTAATGTGGCATATTGAATATTTTAATATGACAAACACTTAAATTTGTAAAATCAGACCATTAAATTTTTATTGTATAATTAAAAAATATGAAAATTATTATTTTAAAATTGTATTAATAATGTATAAAATCAATATTCTATATATAAAAGCAAAAAATTTTAAAAATTTATTATTGGTGTTGCTAATAAGTGTGTATATTACCGAAATCCTTAACTTCAGGAATATGACGAATTTTTATAAAGACAAAAATATGCATTTAAACCATTTAATGTTTGCTAAATATACCAGAAACTTTTAGGCGCAACATAATTTTTGTTAAGGTATGATATATTTAGATGTGACAGTATAATATCAAATATTCAGAGCATTGGATAAAAAAAAAAAAAAATCTTATTGTATTAGCTATAGCTAAATGACTGATTACTCCTTATTGATAGAAAAACTTTTTCCCTTATTTTGTTGTAATTTTAGTGTGAAAGTTTGTTTTTCTTATAAAGCAAAGATAAGATAAGATAACAATGCCTGCTTGAGCTTAAATTCGGCTCAATAATTATAAACTAGTTGAATTTAAACTCGGATTTGAGCTCAACTTTAATAAGCTTATTGAACGAGTCGAGCAAGTTTTTAGCAAGTTAAGTCATAAACAACTCACTCATTTGTAGTCCTAATAATATCATATTAAATATGAAAAATTATTTTAAGAAAATACTTGAAAAGAGTTATACATTTTAGATAAGTATTTTTGACTTTCCAGTTAAAAAAATAAATTTAAAAGTGAAAAAAAAAAAATATTAGTTATTATCCATGTACGTGGGAGCAAAAAGAAAACTCAAAACTGATGTCTTAACCAAAAGAAACGACAACTAGATCGGTAAAAGCGACATAAGGAGAGAGTGAAACTGAAAAACCATATAAAGAAAAGGAAGAAAGCAAACAGTTTCACGTTCATGTTTTAAGCATTTGAAATAAATTTCAAAAAAGGCGGTCCCTACAGACATCCAAACACCTCCCTTTTCGCCCAATTCCTTTTCTCGCTTACTCACCACGTGCTGCTCCTTCATACAACAGACACACAACTTACGGAATTAGATTAACTTGAATCTATGCACCGCGTTTGACGAATAGCGACGCCTCCAGTCATCCTCCTCCTCGTTTTGGAAGGAAAACCTTTCGTCCTCTTCTTTACTTCTTTCTCTAAATCGTTTACTCTTTTCTTTCTTTCCTTTTTCGAATTTTTTAATTCTTTTTCAAAATTACACCCAAAGGGCCCAAAAAACAGGAAGCTCATTTTGACTATTAGGTTTTCTCTTTTGCCCCTGAGTTTGTTGGGATTTACAACATCCTCAAAATTAATTTTTCTTATCCATTTTAACTGAAATTTTCAATTTATTACTTACTATTTTCATTTGATGACCTGATCATTTCTGTCAAAAGAATAATTAATAAGCTTAAATCGGTCTTGATTCAAAGTTTCTATTAAAATCTATCCAAAGGTTCAATTTTGATAAATTTGAGTTGGAAATTACTTTTTTAAATATAAATTTAAAATATTAAATATAGTATTATTTGATTAGTTTTGAATATTTTTTAACTATTTAAATGCAGATTTACTGTTTACACATAAAACACACACACAACACACAAGACGCGAAAAAGGAAATGCCCTGTCACATCTTCAACCAGTCCATTTTCTTCTGTCCACTATAGCTTTCTCTCCTCTTCTTCCTCACCGTAGACCTTCTTCCCCAAAAATAAAAAACCTAGGGTTTTCAATTAACTCCTTTTTTTCCCTCTCCAGCTGCTTCTGTTTCTCTTTTGGTTTCAATCAATCTATCTAAGCAGTAACTTATAGAGTATTAGTAGCGAGAACACAGCAATTATTTTCAATTCATTTCTACTTAATTTTCTATTCATTTCAATACATGGAACAACAACAAGTACAGTTGCAAGAACAGTCAAAGAAGAAGGATGGGGAAGAAGAATATAGACCTTGTATTGAAGAGAGTAGAGAGCAACGGATTTTTGACAATTCTTTACCAGGCGCTGACCTTATGACCATCGATCAATGCGAGACGATTCGGGAAATGGACGATTCGCAACTCGTTGGACCTCCCCCGTCTACTGCGGTTGCGGCACGGGATGTTGATATGGTGGATGTGGAAGTTAGAACGGCGTCTAAAGTTGTGGATATGACTCCGGCCAAGCGGAAGCGTGGTCGGCCACCGAGAATTCAGGGGAAAACGGGGCCGCCACCGCCGCCACAGCAGCCCCAGAGGAAGAAGAGAGATGAGGAAGATGTTTGCTTTATTTGTTTTGATGGTGGTAGTCTTGTGCTTTGCGATCGCCGGTGAGTTTGGTTTGGTACTTAAATTTTCTGTTTGGTTGCCAAGAAATTTTCGGAAGAGGAGGAAAATTCAGCTATAACTTGAGTCTTGTAGCTATCGCATTTAAAGTTTCTTAAACGATAAAGCTGGAGTTATTGGTTAAATGGATGTTTTTCTTATTAGCTGAGGTGATAGCAGTTTAGTTTTTTTAAGTTGGGTTGAAATTTTTGGTTCCGAACATTGGTTTAGGGTTTTAATTCTGTACTAGTTTGCATTAATCGTTCTTGTTTATGCTGTTCCTATTATATTGGTTAATTGTTTTGGCTTGATATGTTGTAGGGGTTGCCCTAAGGCATATCATCCAGCTTGTATCAAGAGGGATGAAGCATTCTTTCGCTCAAAGGCTAAATGGAATTGTGGTATGTCTCTGTAAAATGACTTTATTTGTTCTATATTTCAGTCAGTTAGTTTTAGAAATCTTTTAGCTGCATATTATTTGCTTTAATCAGTACTATTTCATTCATAAGTGTTATTTGGTCTTTATTGGGGAGGACGCATTTTGGCTCATGCTTGTATGCGTAAACATTTCTGTAGTTCTAAATTTTGTAATGTACATGACCATATTGTTATTCTGATCGACTTATGTCTTTAAGTGTGCCATTTTACTTGCATGCTTGTTTCTTGAGAGGCTAGTCTGGTCACAGTCAGTCTTTGAGAAGTTGCGATTCTTTATCTCTGTTAATTTGTTAAATTGAATATCTGGCTAGGGGCCATCTGATTATGATCTATTTTCAGGGTGGCATATATGTAGCGGTTGTCAGAAGGCTTCTCATTACATGTGCTATACTTGTACATACTCCTTGTGCAAAGGATGTACTAAAGATGCTGATTATGTGGGTGTTAGAGGGAATAAAGGATTTTGTGGAACATGCTTGAGAACTATAATGCTGATTGAAAATGTTAAACTGGCAAATGCAGAAACGGTATGTTAACTTCTCTCTATTTGGCTGGTTGGTTAGGACATTAGGTATCTTGGTTTAATTACATTTGCAAAGGGCATTTGCATCAGATTATAGGAGAGAACTCTCTAATATCCTTTTTGGAACCTTATTCACCTGCGGGCTGTTGTTTTTGCTTTCATCTAGTTATTATTATTAGTTTTTTATCTGTCTGAATTCTATAGCTTGCTACTCTTCCAAAAAAAAAAAAGGTCTGCGGTTTGCTGTAAAACTATTTTGTACTTTTTCTTTCTGAATTCAATTTTTTTCTTTCTGTTTTAGTTGTTCTTGTATTTGGAGCTGGAAGACAGACACATCTAAGTTAGTAATTTGTTTGCCATCTGATTTTTTCGTTTTTAGACATTTCTCTTGCATGAAAATTTTGCAGGTTCAGGTGGATTTTGATGACAAAACTAGCTGGGAATATCTCTTTAAGATATACTGGGTTTACTTAAAAGCTAAGCTATCTTTAACCATAGATGAGCTAACTAGAGCTAAAAATCCCTGGAAAGGAGATGAGCTATCTAAAGCTAAAAATTCCTGGAAAGGAGCTGTCATTTTGGCTCCTAAGGAGATATCAAGGGGTCAACTTTATCATGGTAATGATGAGAAAGGATCTTTTACAGACAACTGCTGTGGAAATCTTGAAGCAAATCATTCTAAGAGAAGAAAAACAAAGGATCAACCGAACTTTCTCAACGAGAATTACTCCATACTTATGGAAAAATTGGGTGTTGATAAAGTCACACCTTTGCCTGAAGGGACAATGTGGGCAACAAAGGAGCTCTTGGAGTTGGTTGCACACATGAGAAACGGGGATACATCTGTGTTATCTCAGTTTGATGTCCAGGCTCTTTTACTAGAATACATAAAAAGAAATAATCTTCGTGATCCTCGCCAGAAATCTCAAATTATTTGTGATTCAAGGCTTGCAAATATGTTTGGAAGGCCTCGTGTTGGCCATTTTGAAATGCTGAAGCTTCTTGAATACCATTATCTGATAAAAGAAAAGTCTTCAGCTGATGATACTGTTGGCGTGGGAGTTGCTGATACTGCTGGTGGTCAGGTAGAGGCTGCTAGAAGCAGTGATAGTCAAATGATTGTGGGTAATGACAAACGGCGTAAATCACGCAAAAAGATGGATGAGAGGTCACCACTGATTAATCCTAATGCAGATGAATATGCAGCAATAGATGTTCACAACATTAACTTGTTGTACTTAAAACGTGATTTGATAGAGAACCTAATGGATGATTCTGAGAAATTTCATGAAAATGTTGTTGGATCATTTGTGCGAATTAGGATTTCTGGGGGCGATCAAAGGCAAGATATGCATAGGCTCGTCCAAGTTGTTGGTATATTAGTATGACCCTTCTAATTACCTTTAATTGAAGCAAAAGCAATGCTTCGGACTTTTCTTTGAACATTGTTTTCTGAAGCATAAGTTTTGGGCATCATATTTTGTGTTTAGGTACTAGCAAGGTGGCTGAATCATATCAAGTTGGCTCAAAAACAACCAATGTCATGCTTGAAATATTAAATTTGAACAAGAAAGAGGTTGTCTCAATTGATGCAATCTCAAATCAGGAGTTTTCAGAGGTGAGTAAATTCTTATACACACACAGACACACAGACACACACAGTTTTTTTTTTATAGAAGTGAATGAAGACCTACAATAAATAGATGCTTCCTTTACTAGTTTGAAGTGTTCATAATTCTTGTTGAATTTTATATTTTGGAGAAATAACTTCTTTCTTGCGTTTTCCATTATGAGCAGCTTATTAGATATTATATGGGTAGATAAATATGTTGCTTTCTTGAAATTCTTAGATTTAGGTTACCGAAGGTAGAAGTTCCTTGGTTTTTTGATTTGCTAGCTTTTCTTTTTTCTTTCTTTTTTTCCTTTTTTTTATCTCTGGCTGTTTCTTCTGTGCAATTGCATCTACTATGAGAGTGTGTACATGAGTGTGTGCTTTCATATGTTTAGTAGATTTGATAGTTAAAGCAGCTTATCATGAATTAGGGACTTACTCTTGGTAAGTGTTACGTTTCAACGTGTTTTGACCAACTGTAATATTCATGATCACTGCTACCATGATATTTTTCCCAAAATAATTAGCTTTCAATTACAAAAGAGTTGGGTTTGTATGGGTTGGTTATAATGGCTACAACCATAAAGTATAACCGCTATTAACTGTTCTAATTTCTGTAATGGACCATTAACTGGTGATTCTCAAATATTTATTGCAAAATAATGTGTAATGTAACATCAGGTCAAAAAATGAAAAATCTATATTTGATGGTTGGTATTTAAGTCCTTGACTTAGCAGAGCCCTAATCTTCAATCCCTATGCATTTCTTTTGGTTATACAAGGCTAAAGCACTATGTTGGATGTTGACTTTTGGTAGCTAGCATATGTGGGTGTCCCCATTTTCCTCAATCATAGTTTTGTATCATCAACTCTCATAGTATTCTTGAGCATTGAAGTACAAACATATTTTTTATACAGAGGACATACATGCAAGTAATCATATTTTTGCCTTTGCATCCACCTCTTTGCCATGTAGGAGGTTCTTGAGTGAGCAGGCAACTACTGCATGTGTGTGTTTTTTTTTTTTTCTCTCTTTTCAATATCCTTATCTTTGCCTATAAATTTTATGGTGGAGGATGCTTGTTTGGCACCAGAATTTTTTTTTTTTTTTTCCCATATGTTTGTTTTTAGCTAATGGCTATTCAAAACCTGCCATTTGACGGTCAAATTCAAATACGTATTCATCTCAAATCCTCATGTATCCTATGTTTATACTATTTTCCATGTTTGTTTTTAGCTAATTGCTATTTGCCCTTGAGTCATTTTGGAGAAATGTATTTGTATCTTCACTGAAACTGAAGAAGATTGTTTTTCTTTTTGTACAATGTCAAAATTGATTGATGCTTAAGGTGTTCTCACTAATCAAATGAAAGGAAACGAAAAGTTTTATGAAATGTATTGAGTGGTGTGGTTTATTATCTGCATTAAGAGTGAAGATCCTGTATTTAAAGCATCATGCATTTAACTTGTATTGGTTTTGCCTGTATAATAGAAATTAGAAAGTGTTTTACTCTTATATCATAATAGAACACTTTAGTAGCAAGTCTAAGAGGATTGATTTCAATGTAGCTCTGCTTTTATGCTTGCCTATTGTTTTCTGATCTTTACATTATCATGAATGAATGAGTTGTTGTAGTAGGTTGACATTTGTTGAATTTCATGGACGATAAGCTGTGCTACATTAATATTATTATATACACGAATTATATTGTCTATAAAGGGGGGATACCAGGTGAGGTAGTGACTCAGGGCCTTGACGTGCTAATATTATTAAACAAACTGTTCACCTGGCTTTTGACGTGCTAATTATGTTTACAGGAAGAATGCAGTCGTCTACACCAGAGTATAAAATGTGGGCTTATCAAACAGTTAAAAGTGGTTAGTGTTTACACAATGTTCACTTCTATGTTCTAGCTTTACTCTATGTGCTTCATACCCAAATTAGACTCTTTTATTGGTTATAGGGTGAGATTCTGGAGAAAGCTATGGTGCTTAAACCTGTCAAAGTTAGTGATGTGAGTTACTCTCTCGATAGATTCATTGCATAAGTGTTTACCAGAAATCTCAATGTTTATCTGATGACTGAACTTGCTATCTTGTACATGGACCAACTATCCTTACCCAGTGGTTGGAAGCAGAGATATTACGGCTTAATCACCTTCGTGATCGAGCTAGTGAGAAGGGACATAGGAAGGAATATCCTTTTTGCTGTATGATATTATTCTGATCAAATTGTCATTTGCATTTTGTGTTTGATGAATGACTCACTGGTTTTTAAATCCGTGACCAGGCCCAGTAAAATATACCCAAAATTCACTTAGAGGAATTTTTTTCTTCTATATATTATTTGCTGTAAACATTTGCAATTTTGGGTTGAGGGTGATTAAATGGGTTTTTTGGTTTCATCTTGAAGTTTCAGAGTGCTAAGGTTGAGTTATTCACATTTCCAAAAGAACTTCGGTTCTTTTTTGTTCCCATCTCATACAGACTAAGCTACATATTGATTGGCTGGTATCACATACTGTAACATTTGACTGGTAGACTTTGCCAGATTGCTTAGGAAATCCACCGGAGGAAGATAACCTGGGCTGTTATTGTTTTTACTGCAATAACACGTCTCTCTCTCTCTCTCTCTCTCTCTCTCTCTCTCTCGCTTTCCCATTTCCTTTCTCTCCTCTCTTCTTGGTAATCCAACAAATTGGTGCATGTATTAATAATTGAAATGTGTGGAATGCTTTATATAATTTCGTCAAGTATTGCGTTGTTCCTTGACAATTTTGCACGCTTAGAGAATGTGTGGAAAAGTTAGAGCTCCTGAAGTCACCCAAGGAGTGTCAGCGCAGGCTTCTTGAAATTCCCAATATACATGCAGACCCAAATATGGATCCAAGTCATGAATCTGAAGAAGATGCAGGAGAATCAAATATAAAGAAACAAGGTCCTTATCAGTATTTGTGGATGTGCACATTTTATGATATGTTTGAATTTCCTACTGAGAGAGCTTAGCAAGTGATAACTTTTTAACCTTGTATGCAGGTGACCATGCAAGAGAAAGAAATACTGGTGTTGGAAGAAAGGGAATAGAGCTCAATTCTCCAGTAAGAGAAGGTGATCTGAATAATGCAGGAAACATGGCACTAACAAATTTAGCTGCTGCCTGTGAGCAAAGTATAAACACATGCACAACATTTTATGTTGATAAGGATGGTACTACTCGAGTTCATGATAGAACCAGTGAATCCATGTGGAGTAAGGAAGGGGGAGCACTTGGGCTCAGTAGCGAGAATACATCAAAGAACCTGTTTGGTTCGTCCGACTCGGTAAATGATAAAGCAGCAGTACAATCTGAAACACATACTGGTGTTGCACCATCTGTTATACCACCTCTTTCGCCAGAGAGAGAACAACTCATTGGTGATTTTGAGACAGAAAAGCTGTGGCATTACCAGGATCCATTTGGAATTGTTCAAGGGCCGTTTTGTATGATGCAGCTGCGTAAATGGAGTACAAGTGGGCTTTTCCCTCTTGATTTCAGAGTATGGAGGATAAATGAGAAGCAAGAGGACTCTATTCTTTTGACTGATGCATTGGTTGGCCAATATTCTAAGCAGCTACTACAACCTTGCAACAGCCATTTAGAGCCTCAGGAAGCAACAGTTGCATCTAATGATGCAGGTAAAAATTGGAAATCTGGGTTCAGTTTGAGCACTGATGCATCTTGGCTAGACGGCAAAAAGGTTGATCATGACAGTAAGCCTGTGCAAAATGATGTAAATATCCATGGGGGTGGTGATAGTGACCTTGTTAAGAGCAATAATGGGTTGGGCTCCCATTCTTCCACATGGACTAAGACTGTGGACGTTACGATGGACAATGATGCACAGGCCCAAAGTTCCTTACAGGGCTGGGACTTATCTAAGGATAGCAAGGCTTGGACTGGTCAGTCCCGGATTTGTGGTTCCCTTCCCTCAGCTTCATCTCCTGGCGACCTTATTGGAACTCCATCCAATCAAGTAAGAGAAGAGCATGGGGATGAAAAGTGGAGTTCCAATACTAATTCACACAGGAATATTGATGATCAAACTAATGCCAGAGAGACTGATGTGAAAAGAAAACGATTAGACAGTGAAGGTCATTCAAACCAATCCTCTGGCCAAAATTGGAGAACCCAGCCCATTACCAGTTCTTCAAGCGGATGGGATTCCAACTCTGGTTTTGTATCTGCAGCCAAGTCAATTGGAAAATCTGAGCTGCATCAGGAAATTGATTTCTCTGATCTGCTAAGTCCAAGACCAAAGCAAAGCCATGAAGACTCGAAAGATGATGTTGCTAAGAACAAACTGCCTCTTACCTCAAATGTTCCTGTCCAGGATTCAGGACCTACTTGGAGCACTGCTTCGAGTTTAGTGGTTGGTGAATGGGGTGGCTATTCTTCTCATCCCAAACCTTCTGTTGAGGAATGGGACTCAAATCATGTATCTGCATCTTCACTGAAACCAACTGAAGGTGCAAGTGATCATGCTGCTACACCAACATCTGGAACTGGCCCACTGACACATTCTTCCTCCAGCCATCCGACAATTGATACATCTAGTTGGCAGCCGATTGTTCCTGAACCCAATGAGTTCTGCTCTTTAGTTGATGAATCTGTTTCAGACCTGCTTGCCGAAGTTGAAGCAATGGAATCTCTTGGTTTGCCTTCCCCTACTTCAAAAATGAGCTGTGGTGGAGAATTGACGCCAGGTTCTGATAATGATTGCTTTAGTCCTGTTGAGCCATTTAGTCCAGCACCTGATCCAGGGAAAAGTGATGCATTGAGCTCCACCAGTGATATACATATGCCTTCTCAGTTGCCTGCAGCTGATGTAGTACTTCGGCTATCTCACACACCTTCTCAGCCAACTGTAACAGATGAACTTGCAGTATCTCAAATGCATTCTCGGTTGGCTGTGACTGATAAACATCATCCGTTGCCTCAGATGCCACCACGGTCTATTGTCCAAGATGAGCCGCTAGGAGCATCTCCAATGCCTCAGTCCACTTTAACGGAGGAGCCACTTGGGTTATGGCATACTGATGTTCTTGATGCTCAAAAAAGCTTTAGCAGGCATTCACCTAGTAGTGCGGAAGTGGTTGGAGATACAAAGCGCAGTGATGTTTCTGTTAACCAATGGGAAACGCGTTCAGAACCACTGGCATCTTCAACCATAAACCAAAGGGAAGCAGGTTCAGACATTCGGTCGCGTACTTCATCATCAGTTGGCCAATGGGAAGCTGGTTCTGATTCCCAACGTCCTGCATCATCAACTGCAGATGCTAGTTATGGAACAATAAAGGGAAATGCAAACTCAAACCAAGTTGTATCTCAAGGAAATACGAACATGATTTGGGGAACTGGTCATGGATCAGTTCAGCAACAAGCTAGTTCAAATTCTGCTATTTCTACTGGGATTCTAGGTAGTTGGGGAAGCCAACACCAACAAAGGCATGGTGGGGACAATAGATTTGCTGGTTCAAGAGACCACCGGAATTATTATCAAGGACGAGATTCAGGTTTTAGTAGGGATAGATCTTCATGGAACAGGCAACCAGCATATGGTGCTGGAAATGGAGGAGGTACTTTCAAGGCACAGGGTAAAGGGCAGCGAGTATGTAAGTTCTATGAAAACGGGTACTGCAAAAAGGGGGCATCATGTAGTTATTTGCACCCATGATTATTAGGTTCGAAGTTACACGCAATTGTTGTGCATTCAATTCTGTAATCATCAATTGTATTAGGGAGTTTGCTTATGTTAATGTTCTAATTTAACATGTAAAAGTATTAAAAGTGGCATAATACGTTTGTTCTTTGGATAGCTTAATTAGAGCTGCATGTTGCAGTTGATATATAAATTCTTTTGTCTGCTCAATGCACAAGGTATTGTTAGGAACTTCTCTTTAGCACATATGTTTAGAGCAAGGCATAGTTTGGTAAGAGCTTTCTAAGTAGATTTTAGTTAAAATGTTAAATGTTTTTTTTTGTAGTGTTTGGTATTATGGGCATTTAAAAAGGTAGTGTTATATATAAAAAGAGTTAATGTCAACAGATAGCGTTTTATATAAAAGTTAACTTTTATGAAAAATTATTTATTCAAACAGTTAATAGTTAAATACTACTAAAATGATTAATAGTTACTAAAATAATTAACATGCCAAACGGACTTTAAATTGAGTCAATTTAAATGTTAAAAGTTATTGAAACAGTCAACATTGCTGAACCGACTCTAAATTTGGTCAACTCAAATTGTATTTTCATCTAAATTTGGTCAACTCAAATGGTGTTTTCATTTTATTTATAATTATTTAAAGATAATAAATAATAGTTAAATACTATTATAAACAAATTAATAAATTATTTTTTATTTAATATAAACACTTTAAAAATAAAAATTATGTATTTACTTTAAAGCAACATAATACTACAAAATTAAAAAGTAATTTTAGTGGCCATAATCACTGTTTTTACTTTTTTACCAGCAAACAACTCTCAACTATTAGCATTAGCCACCGAGAGCAAACAATTTGTCGATATCCGCTGCCAATTACCTCGACAGGCCCCAATCGCAATCCTACTCAATGTAACCCAAAGTGTCGAATCAATCGCGTTCCACGTCTAAGTCGCCATAAGGAGACAAATCCAAATCAGGTGGGCAACATATTGGCGAGAACACTGTCGTTTTGTCTCGACATCGATAGCACTAACCTGTGTTGATTTTGAGCTTCAGACGTTCAAGAAGAGTTCTTAAAAAAATTTCCAAATAATGGCAACGTCGAAAAAGACGACGTCGTTGCTCTCCTCTACGCAGAAGTACGCCGCCGGAGCGTTATTTGCGATCGCTGTACACCAGGCCCAAATCCATCAATCCCAACCGCTTGGCTTCTTTACGGATGATAACCCAACCGAGGAGGAGCAGCGAATTAGTAGTAGCAGCAGTAACAGTAGCGATTCTGTATCCGAGGACCCTGACCTTTGGGTCCACAAGTATTCGGGTTTGCTTCGTCCTGTTTTCAGGTCCTAATTCCTTAACTTTCTCTCTTTGATTGGATTTTGTTAGAACCGACCCGACTCGAACTAATTCTTTCTGGTTTTATGGACAGGTTTTTAGATGTTGAGTCTGCTGCTTGGCATGGGCTTGAGGAGACTGCTGGCTCTTCTCCAGCTAAGCATCACATTGGACCTGTATGTTCTTTTTTTAGTGTTTTTGTTTTTTCTCATTAATCAAATTTGGGTACAACATTTTTAATCAGATAGATTTCCAAAAATCAGATTGGTTTTTTTCCTGTTGGAGAAGGAAGCTACAGTTTAGTATTCATGCTTGTATTATATGATTTCCATTTTCTTAACTGTACAATGCTTCAATTGCGCCTAATTATGTTCTAGGTCTTGAATTTACTATCTAAGACAACATTGATGTTTTCTCAAAATAAAGTTAGGGGTTCACTATTCTTTAATTTGGAAGTTCCTTGATGAAATGTAAGTGCATTTTAGTTTAAGATCATATGTCCAAGAGGAAAAAGGAATTTCTTTTATGGCTTAGAATCGATGCTTTTCTGGTGTTATTAGTTCCGCTGGGTATTTTTATTGTCTTAACTATACAATGCTTTAATTTTTTCCTAGTTCTTGAGGTTGCTCTCTGAAGACGGCAATGATGCTAATTCTCATAGTTCAGATCAGGAACTTGCTCTGTCCAAAGCTGTTGATGTTATGTCACAGACCATGGAAACAAATTATGCATCTTCCGAGCAGAAGAAGGAGAAGCATCGAGAGTATGAGCATGAGTGTCGTGAAAAATTATCCACTAGTGAGGTGCAATCAGACTCTGAAATTCTTACGCAACCCTTACCAACAACACAAGAGAGAAGCCGTAATGTGGTTGGCGTTAGTGATGCAGATGATGGGTCTGAAAGTGGAGTTGATGAGAAACCCATTGAAGAGGAAAAAATGCTTAGTTATCCTAGGAAAATAATTGTTCTCTATGAGCTTCTTTCAGCTTGTTTGGCTGATAAACGTGATGATGATAAAAAATGTATGCGGCGAAGAAAGGGTTATGATGCTCGACATCGAGTAGCTCTGAGATTGCTGGCAACTTGGCTTGATATCAAGTGGATAAAAATGGTCTGCACATATAGCTAACTATTCCTTATTAGCCACATATTTAAATGAGGATTCTATATCTTCCCTTGGTATTCTAACAAAAAAAGAGAAAAAATAACCATTCAATTTTATACTGTTATTCATTTTCTAGGAAAAAAGGCATAGTCTAATTGTTGAAATGGTCTATCACTGCATAAGATGCACAAGGCCTTCTAGTGTAATCTAGTATTGCTTTTGTTTTTAGGATAAGGGATTTTTTTTTTTTCTGCAGGAAGCGATTGAGACAATGATTGCTTGCTCTGCAATGGCTATAGCAAAAGAGGAAGAATCAAAGGCAGAAGGAAGTCAATCCTCTAGAAGCAAGTGGGCTAAATGGAAGCGTGGAGGTATCATTGGCGCAGCTGCAATAACTGGAGGAACCTTGATGGCTATTACTGGAGGTGTGGATCTGCATATTTTTTCCAACATAGAGTTAACTGTTCTATATTAACCATGGAAAGATTATACAATCTTTTTGAAGTGGCTTTCACCTTTCTTTTCTTTCATTTTCTTTTAAATATTCAACAGGATTAGCTGCCCCAGCAATTGCTGCAGGATTTAGTGCTTTGGCTCCAACATTGGGCACTCTTGTTCCCGTGATTGGAGTGAGTGGATTTGCTGCTGCTGCAAGTGCTGCTGGAACAGTTGCTGGTTCTGTTGCTGTTGCTGCATCATTTGGAGGTAGGCACTTAATCAGTCTTTAGGCTTCTGAAGAATTCCCCACTAGCTTATTTCATTTGACTTTTATTTATGGGGAGAAAGCAGACATTGTTGACTTTTTCACTGCAGTTTAATTTGTGCGAATTAATTGTATACTTTATGAAAATTTTGTAGTCTTTTGAACATTTTTCATGTCATGTTGATATATGTCCAGTTATCTTTAAGGATTGATATATCAACCTTGTACATGGTTCCTGTGAAGAGTACCCATGTTAGTTTTCTGTCACAAATAATGAACATTTGCATAGTAGTTATTTTATTTATTTATCTTTCGGTCTTGACCTAATTAAGCCTTTTGGATATTGTTGTTGCATAGCTACATAAACTCAGTACAGCCTGCAAACTAGTTGGAATTGGCTACATGAATCCGTTTCCTCCATTCTACTCTAGGGGTGTAAATGAGCGGAGCTAAGCTGGAGCTCGCTAGGCTCAAAGCTCGGCTAGATAGACTCTTGCTCGAGTTGAAGCTCGACGAGCTTGGAAATTTTGATCAAGCTCGGGTTGATGGAAGCTGGAGCTCGACTCAAGGCTTGAGGCTTGACTTCAAGTCAGCTAAACCTGCTTTTTCAAGCCGATAAGGCTCGGTGAGCTTTCGAGCTGAATGTCATTAAGCTCGAGCTCAATTCAAGCTAAACCTTTTTGAACTTTCTCTTAGCTAAGATCAAACAACTCATGAGCCTGCTCAGCTCATTTACATCCCTGTTCTACTCTATATGGTTACATCAAGTGATGTCCCAACAGCATATCAATTAGGATCCATTTCCCAATCCCAAAAACGTGACGGAATTTTACAATGGCTGTCATATACAACAATTCTCCTCCTTTTATAGACTGGCTACATGAGAGTGAATAATGCATAGGGGGAGTTGAATGGCAAACAAAAAAGTGATGTGTTGGGTGGTCTCATCAAATGACTTTGGTTGGTAATCTAATACTTTTCATGGCTTACATTCATGGAGAGCATTTGTGCACTTCTCTGTATGAGAAGTGATAATACTGACTTAAAAGATAAAAAATGTCATTTGGATCTTTTAATTCCGGCTGCAAAGTCAGATATGCTGTGGTTACATAATTATTTTCTAGGATCTCGTGTAGTAGATCAAAATGTTGAAATCTCTTAATTTGCTCACGTGGTGGAGAATTTACTATGCCTTTTTGTTGTTATTTTTATTCAAGCCAGCTGCTGGAGCTGGACTTGCGGGGACCAAAATGGCTAGGAGAACTGGAAGTGTTGATGAATTTGAATTCAAAGCTATAGGGGAAAACCATAACCAAGGCGTAAGTTTATAATCTTGTCCACTCTTCTCTTGCTAAAACTTAACCACCTGGTGCACATTTTCTCTGTTTCAAATGTTACTTTTGTAATTTATGTTAAATTCTAGTGTATCTTTTCTTTCAGCGGCTAGCAGTTGGGATTATGGTCTCGGGGTTTGTATTTGACGAGGGAGATTTTGTAAGGCCTTGGGAAGGACAAAATGACATTTTGGAGAGGTACAAACATGTAAACCTCCTTGCTTTATGTTGAAATTTTCCTTTATGGCTTTACTTCGTCAGAAATTCAGAATTCATCGAATAAACACATGAAATTCTCTTTTTCCAACTGTTAATTTTTTTCGCCTTTTCTTCAGGTAAGTATTTTGCCTGATTTTATTGTTTGTTTAAAAATTATATCTGTTGGACAAGTAAACTTCTATCAATTTACAATAAAATATTCAGTGTGCTTTTGTCACTTGGGATAAGTAAAATGATATTTTCTGCCCACTGATTTTATCTGTCTTATTCATGTTCCTTAAGTTTTATTGCTTGTTATTCCAATGATATATCTCCACAATGAGCTATTGTTCATTATTAAGTGGTAAAAAGTTAAAGCAGAACATTATTCTTGCGCAACAGCATGATATTTGGGCTAAACTGGACCTGGAGTAGTTGCTTACTAAAACAAATGTCTCTTTTATTTCAAAACAGAAACTAACTTGCTGAGGGTTTATTATATTCAAAATGGGTGGTTCCACAAGACATGTCTCTTATAACTAATGAACTTTTTAGGTATGTGTTGCAGTGGGAATCTAAGAATCTTATTGCAGTCAGCACTGCCATTCAAGATTTGCTTACTTCAAGTAATTGTTTTGGACCTGATGGCTACTTTTTAACTATTAAGTGAGTAAACTTGTGCCTGTTGTGACAGCGCTAATGCTTGCTCTAGGTATTGCATTGGGGTTAATGAAGCAAGGTGCAATGATGACTGTGTTAAGCACTCTTGTGACCGCCTTGGCCTGGCCAGCAACTTTACTCGCAGCTACTGATTTTATAGATAGCACTTGGACAATTGCTATTGACAGGTTAGCTTCTCTTATATGGACAATGATTGGAATACTTAGATGGGCAGATAGCAGATGACTGTGTTAAGCACTCTTGTGACCGCCTTGGCCTGGCCAGCAACTTTACTCGCAGCTACTGATTTTATAGATAGCACTTGGACAATTGCTATTGACAGGTTAGCTTCTCTTATATGGACAATGATTGGAATACTTAGATGGGCAGATAGCAGAGTGAAATAAATGCCTTCCAATTCCACAAAACTGTCTGTTTTGCACATTAATAGGCACCCGAAATTAGGTTGCCTGATGAAATCGTTTATATTGTAATAAATGCAACTGGCTGGGATAATGTATTATTGTCAACTGGGTTTATATTGTCTGCCATTTTCTAGATCAGACAAAGCAGGAAAATTGCTAGCTGATGTGTTATTGAAAGGACTGCAAGGGAACAGGTAAACAGGTTATAATTTATTTCGAAATGTTGTCATTTTAGTGCCCCATATTTTCAAATAAATAAATAAATAAAATAAAATAAAAGTTTACTCTATTTCACTCCTACCTTTGACTTTCTGCAAATCTTTCAGGCCCGTGACACTTGTGGGTTACTCACTTGGAGCTCGAGTGATTTTCAAGTGTTTCAAGTGCCTATGAGGGGACTTTTGGCTGAGGACTGAATATGGTGGTAATGCTTACATTAGCCTATCCTTTAAGTGGGATGCAAATTTCTTAGCTGCACATCCTCATGCGATTTATTCTGAAACTTTGACAGCTAACTTGTTGATTCTGAACTTGACAGCTGAACTTGTTGAAAGAGTTGTTCTTCTTGGAGCTCCTATCTCTATTAAAAATGAGAAGTGGGAAGCAGCAAGAAAGGTGATTGGAGTTCCATCATTGGAAGCATCCTTTGCCATTTCTTCACGAATATTTTTCTTGCTGCATACTTTCATTAATCCTCTGCAAAGGCCTCAATCAGTTTATGCTGTTTTCCAGATGGTGGCTGGCAGATTTATAAATGCCTATTCTAGAAATGACTGGACACTTGGAGTTGCTTTTCGTGCAAGGTATGCATTATATGGAGGGCCATAGTAGAGAATGTTTCTGAAAGATTGACACATGATATATGCCTGTGGATCACTGAATGCTTCATTGTCAAAATATCTAAGCAAATTGATGATTTCATATCTGTTAAGGATTAGTTGTAAATAGAGTTCTATTAGGAGTTAGATTCCTAATTAGTTTATGATTTGTGTTCCTAAATAGCTAGGTAGCATAGGAATTCCTTATATATAGATAGGAATTCCTTATATATAGACCTATGTACTCAATTGATGAGATACAAGAAATACAATTACAATAGAATCTCTCAACATGTGTATCAGAGCCAAACTCAAATCTCTGTCTCGCACAAAATCAACCCAGTGAGTTGCATCGTCATTCTTGGGCTTATTCAATAGGTTTGTTTGCTGCGATTCTGTTGCAGCTGTATCGGGCAGTCCTCTTGTTGCTTTAATTTGCTGAGGAAACATATTTTTCCTTTGCTGTGACAATTGGTTTAGGTAATTTTCGGTGATTTTCTAGTGATTCCTTTTTTCCCTTTTTTCGGCTAGTGATTCCTTTTTGCATTAGGGTTTAGTACTGCACCTTTGCTGCAGTTACGGGTATTCTGCTTTTGAACCTTCTCTTTTGTCGAGAGCAGTGCAGCCCCAGTGAGTTGCATTGTGTTCTAGGCCTTCAGTGGTGTGCTCTGTTTGCCAGATTTTCCTTTGTTGTGTTTCTGAATATCTGCGCTACTGGGCTTCCTCTTTGAGGAATTGATTATGGAAGCTTGAAACAGCCCTGAGAGTTGTTTTCTGGTTCAATGAAATTTGTTTTGACAACCTAAGTATGTTGTCTTGATTCTGCTACTACTATTTGGTTTGGGATTCTTTATTGCTATAATGAATTGGGTACAGTTGCTGAGTATGGTATTGTGCTTTGCTGAAAGTACTAGTTTGTAACAAGTTGAGCATGATTAACATCTATGCTCTAACTTGAGGGGGAGTGTTAAGGATTAGTTGTAAATAGAGTTCTATTAAGAGTTAGATTCCAGATTAGATCCTAATTAGTTTACTGATTTGTATTTCCTAAATAGCTAGGTAGCCATGGGAAATCCTTATATATTAGAGATATGTAATCGATTGATTGGAGATACAAGAAATACAAATTACAATAGAATCTCCTCAACAATATCCATCAAGGCTTTGTTTTGAGATTTTGAGTTTGAAAGCTGGTTGGTCATTATTTGAGTTTGAAGCTGGTTGTCATAACTGCATTGACTATCCATTTATTGCTTAAAATTTTTTAATTGTTTTTGGAAAACCATGGTTTGGAGGAAGCTAAAAGTCCAACTTTTCCCATATTATGTTTTGCTAAGCCTTGAACATTGCAAGGACAGTGTGCCAAAAGCAGTCCTATCACTATCCCAAAGGGGTACTAAGGATCATGTCCCCTGTCTAAGCATAAGCAATTAAATAAATATGTGGGCTTGGGTTTCTTAAGTTCATTTTGCCCTTCATAAAATCTATACTCATCTTGCTCGAATTACAGGCCAACTCTTTTCTGTTATTGCAATAATTATTAGAATTACTAGATCATTTGCTTGTGGATGATGTTGTCTTGTTCTCTGAGAAGATCATTAATATATCTGACTAGGAAAGGGGTGTTTAGCATAGTTGTTGGAGGCTAATTGATAGTTTTTGACCCTTGGCAGTCGGGTCAACCATCTACTTGATTACAGTAAATCAGTTATTGGTAGAGGCACTCTACTTATTCAAAAATATATCTGTATGGGGTAAAAAATCTGTTTAGCATAAAAACCTACACAAAGTTAATTGAATTTATTTATTGATGATTTACATTATTATTTGATTTGTATACCTTAGGTACTCATTTGACATCTTAACAACAATTAGCAGATTTTACCGAATGGTTGAACATTTATTAGCTTCTAGCTATCAACAATTGCTACCAACTATTAGCTATTAGCTCTTCTAGCTATCAACAATTGCTACCAACTATTAGCTATTAGCTATCACTAATAGCTAACCTAATGTACTCCTAAATATTTATATGCAATTAGCTATGCAACAATATAAATGGTGATTGCCATTAGATTTTCACATTCCTTACATGTTTTTCCTGTCATTAGTCCCTTTTTCTGGTCAAAGCATGTTAGGCATTATATGCTGTCACTGGTTAATAATGAAAGTCCAAATCCTCTTAGAGTAATTCATTTGCCAGGTACAATTTGAAACAAATTTGAATGTTTTTCTCAACTGCTCGTAAGACATTCCTTTTTTTTTTTTTTTTTTTTAGTGGGTTTATTAGGAGAGGCGAAAAAGTATATGTTTGCTCAAATTCTTTTACAAACCACTTAGAAATTTTCAGTTGTTATTTTAAAAAACCCACTGTCAAACTTTGAGAATAATTTTAAGAACTTTAATAGTTTGAATAGTTTGTTTTCTTAACAGTCTTTTTACTCAAGGATTAGCCGGAATTCAACCAATTGATGTTCCAGGAATCGAGAATGTAAGGGTTGTCTCGTTCTTTCTCTCTCTCTCTCTCTCTCTCTCTTTTGTTCTTCCCCAGCATCAGTGTCAATTTTTTTTTATCCTATCAAAGAGAGTTTAAAAATATGATTGTACCTTTTTATGCTCTGCAGGTCGATGTTACTGGTATTATTGAAGGCCACTCTTCATATCTATGGGCTACACAACAGATTTTGGAACAACTTGAATTGGATGCTTATTATCCTGTTTTCAGAAACACAGTCCACCAAGAAACACAGTCCACCACTGCAAATAGAGAATTTCTGGCAAATTGTTTTTACTCCAAATTGAAATTAGACTTCCAATTCTTGATGAACTCAAGTTTTATGATTTTGCTTTAGAAGTTTGCATCTAATTGTGGGGGAAGTCATGTTTCTAATTGACCTAACTCGGGTTTCTCTATGGTTCTATCTTTGTTGCTTTTCTTGTACATATTACTTTCTTGTACATATTACAGATGAGAAGAAATACGTTGGTTACAACTCTACTAATGGGTGACATATCGACATCTTTCTTTCTGCCAGGTCGATGAACTATGTACTTATTCTATCTAATGAATTTGGTCCGTTTGTATTGTGAAATTTAATTGTCAGGATCTGTAACTTCAAAAATTAATTTACTAGTAAATGTTATAACGTTCCAAATATTAGATCTGGGTTTAGATATTTTTTTAGATATTTTTTTCCTTGGCTTGATAGAGACTTGGTTTAAAGTAATGCAATGGAAGTAAATGTTTCTCCTTTTATTTTTAACTTTGGTTTTTGTATGAAATTGTTGTAACCAGTGAACTTGGGGGAATTAGAAAGTTTGGATTTTGAGGTAGATATCTTTTCACAATATTTTTTATTTTTTCGTTTTCCACACACACACACAACCACCAACACCACACCACACACACCCAACACACGCACACCACATATATATATATATATTAAATATAATATATATATTCTTTCCTTTTGTCACGAACGAGAGAAGTACAAGTTTTGAGCATAATATTCATTGAATTCTTTTTCTTATTGATGATCAACACCAGCAAGATTGAGGAACAGAAAAAAAAAGCATTTCGTTCTTTGTGGTTGATATAATTAATATTCGTCTTTGTGGATATAATTAATATTTTAATATCAAAATACAATCAACTTAACTACTAAGGAACATAAGATGCTAAAAGATATTATATTGGAATGATAGTTAAATTTGGAATGAGATCTTAGCAAGAAAATAGAACATATTGTCAAGCTCGAAAATTCGAAATAGAGAAATGGAAATATCACATGAGAAGGATAATCAAGAACAATCAAAATTTCCAATCATCATAGTAATGAAAGGTCCTTCAAGTATAAAAAAGAGCGAAATATCTCGTAAATAGCTGCATTTCTTCAATATCTTCTAATTGATGAAGAAGATATCACCCCTTACCTTCAAAATTTCATTCCAAACTCCTCCATTGAATCTTATCTATTGCCTTTCAAAATTGCCTCTCAAATCTGTTCAACCCAACTCGATTCAAAACTCGGAGTTATCCTCAATGCTCCACTATCTAATAATACCCAATTCGATGATTTAGTGCACCTTGCAATTTCTAAAGATGTCTCTCTAATTATCATCGAGTGTAAAACTGAAAACGATAATGTTCAAGCCGTTTGTCAATATGATACTATGCAAGTACCAAAAATTAGTATCGAGATTACAAAAACTTTTGTCGTAGAGGACTTTGTCGCAGAAATATTTACAAAAACTTTTGTCGTAGAGGACTTTGTCGCAGAAATATTTAAGGCTATAGAATCACATCATCGTCAAGCTGTTGATAATGCTTCTAAAGGTAATGTTGATCTTATTGAGACCACTTTCACAAAGAGACATGCACATGAATTTTCATTCATCGAAGACGATTCCATTTCTAGTTTTGAGAAGCTCAAATGCAACTGTTGCCAACAACTCATTTCTGGTAAAATAAGTGCGCTGAATGTGATGAATTCATCCTCCACAAAGATTGTGCAGAATTAAATCACAAATTAATTGGTTTGAGGGAAAATTTTCCTCC